GTCACTAACCCTGATTTTGGGATGTTACATATACCCTAGCATACATATGCAAATTAAAGAAAGATTCCCCCCTAGAAGTCATGTGTTTAAGCAACTACTTCTGCATGATGTGAAGGATTAAGAAAGTCATGGAAATGTTATTTACCAATTTAAATACCCAATTCTCTATCTTTTACCTATCCATCTGACATTATGAGACTAAATAGATCTCTATGGATACAATTGTTCTACCTTTACTAATCTTACCCAATTCTCTATCTACTAGCAACCTATACCCAATTCTCTTGAAAGGAAGAATTTATCAATGTACAAAATAATAGGATGCTACAACATAGTTTTGCATTATTACCACAACAAGCAGGTACTTGTAAATACTGTTGTTCTGTCTTTTACCAATCTATGCCCAATTCTCTAGAAAGGAAGAGTCTGTCAATGTACAAAATGACGGGACCGGAAGCTGCAACATAGTTTTGCATTTGAATTCTCGCCGATGCCTCGTTTTCATTTAGTTTCTTCATTAGCTGTGCCTTTGTAGGGAGGGCATACATCCCAGCAGCTACCGCTTTCCTGATCGCCCAGCCATGGTGGGGTGCAAATGCCTGAGCATACGCCTTGGAAGCTGGATCTTTTAAGGAATCACCCTCTGTAGCTAGAATTTGTTCAAATAGTACCCTGACCATGTCGAGACCGCGTTTCACTCTCAAAAGGTTTCTTGCATGACTCCCAGCTTTCCTAACGCAATTCCCTTCTATATCCCTATCAAGCATTGCATTTAGTGTCGCAATCGACTTTGATGCCTCTGCAAGATCACCAACCTTTGCAACATAATCCATTTCCGCAAACTTGAAGGCAATGCCTAAACAACTGAAGAGAGGAGAAACGAATGAGCATGCGCGTGAAAAAGGGGCCACCTCCATATCAGCTGTTTGCGAGTTTACCGTGGCAGCAAGTTCCTTGAACGCATCAGCGATTTTTCTCAGCGTCTTATCGCTCTCTGCATTTGCCATTTCTGATCTGTTTCTGGTCCTTCATTTCACAAACAAAATACTGTAATCTTATAATAACTTTAAAAAACACCAATTAACAAACCCTACATCAACAGATATTCCAATTCTAAATTAACACAAATTGATCTTCTTCTTACTCTCAATCCTTTTCATTATTTTTCAATAATCTTACCAGGTCCTACAGTGCTGCACTACGACTTTTCATTTCACAATTTCATGCGCTTTTTATTCTACAAGTTATTCTCTCTCAAAACAAAGAAAATGCTAAAAATAAGATTTTGAGCTACACGATCTACCACATGAAAAAAAAAACCGAAGTCAAACGACAATCAGATCTACCACAAAAAATTCCTCAAGGATTTTAATTAGGCAGATCGAAGAGTGAAATAAGAGAAGAAACCAGTTAAATTAAAGGATTGTAGAACCCTAAATTCCCTTCCTTATCACATTTTCACGGAAAACTAATCAAAGAAATATGAAAAAAGTAACATTAAAAAGAGAAAAACAAAAAAATATATTGATCAGAGTACGGATCCACCTTCAAAAGATGCGATTACTTGACTTAGGGAAAGCCGGAACCCTAGCGAGAGCCTCTGCGATATTTTTCAAATGGGACCAAAATGAAAAAGCTCGTGAGAATGAGTGTAATGAGTAATGACTCTAGCGTATTCTCAAGTCCTTCACGTTTGAGATATTTGTGGAAGTGGCGATCGTAGATTCTGTAGAGTAAGTGGTTTAATTACTAGTTTGATCCTACTTCTATTCCATGTATCATTTTCTTAAATTAATTAATTTAATATTTCTCAACTAACAATAATTTTATTTTTCTTTTTTTAGAAAAATATTTTTTAATTTTAAAATTAAAAATGTATTTTAAATCAAAATCAACATTTAGAAAATATAATCCCGTCATTAACGTATTTATTTCAAGGATTTTTAGAGTTAAAAACTATCGTGACAACTAAAATAATTTTTTTATTCCTATCTAAGTAGAGAACAAAGAGAATTTTACTCGTATGAAACCCACAACTTAGAATAAAAGAAAATTTTAATGAGATTGTCAACAAAATGAATATAATTTTATAATAAGATAATATATATATATATATAATCATTTAAATTGAAATCAAATAGTATCATAATATTATAAATATTTATAATTAAATTTAAACAAAAACTCAAAAATTTGACTCGACTTGAAAAAAATTTCAAATCAAATTCGAGTTCTAAAATATGACTTGTCAACTTGAATACTCAATGCTAACTGAGAGCACTTGATTAATGCATCGTTGTATGCATTTATAGTTTTACCTTTTAAAATGTAAGACTTTTTAACTAAAAAAAATAAAAAGAAATTATATATTAATTCAAAAAAAAATGATAATATAGGATTTGTTAACTTAAAAAATTTAAGAAAAATTATTTGACTCAACTTGAGCAAATATTCACATCTGAATATATGTGTAATTTATTTCAATACAATTTCTTTGTTTCATTCCACTAAACCAAATATGCCATATATATTATTGATCCTAACATAGTAGTAATAAATTAATCTGTCTTTTGATAATTATTTATTCCGATGATATAATTAACGTCAACAAGATTTCATGTAAGACATCTTTCAAAAGAATAATTCTTATTCATTTAAAATCTTGATAATTGTGCAACTGGTGTCTGTACATCAACATAGAATGTCAAATTTCCAGCAGTAAAACTTGAAAGAAAAAGAAAATGAAGCTACAACTACATACTACACAGAGAAAAAGGCTAAATCATCATGTTTAACGACCCACCTCCATGCTTGAATAAGTTACTGAAGGTTCCTGGGAGCCAGAGGTGACCGATGGCAAAGATACATCGGAAACTGCATCTTGACCGGAAGATTAGGCAACGGTGACTCCGAATAAAGAACTTGAATCGCTTGCCTGATCGACGGCCTCGAATTACAATCTGGATGTGCACAGTCCCACAATCATCAAACACACCGCTTGTTTTTCATTGAAGACCTTGTCCAACTTACCGTCAACGGCCGAATTCAGCTCTCCTTTCCCATGAAGACCCCAAATCCACTCGACCAATCCCATGTCGGATTTTGTTCAAGGATCAACAGATTTCCTTCCAGTTGCGATTTCTGAAAGGACGACTCCTAAGCTATAAACATCCGACTCCTTACTGGCCCTGCCTGTGCTTTATGTACTCTGGAGCCAAGTAGCCTAGAGTTCCAGCCAATCCAGTTGTTTTAGGACTTATCTCATGGTCCATGAGTTTAGCCAACCCGAAGTCACCGAGCTTGACATTGAAACTGGAATCGTGCATTACATTGCCCGATTTTATGTCTTGGTGCACCACACACTGCTCCCATTCTTCATGGAGATAGAGAAGAGCAGATGCCAATCCGAGCGATATTCGATACTGTACTGGCCAAGTAAGCGGACTTCTTCTTCCAAAAAGGTGGGAATCAAGGCTACCATTGGGCATGAATTCATAGACAAGTATGAAATTGTTTCTGTCATGGCACCAACCAATTAGTCGCACCAGAATTCCAATGTCTCAACTGGCTAATGACCTTCACTTCAGTTACATACTCCTTTTTCCCCTGTCTGGAACCACTCGAAATCCTTTTAACAGCAACCGGCATATCTAAATCATTCAGGTAACCTATATAAGCTGCACCAAATCCTCCTTCACCCAACTGACCGTGTTCCGAGAAGTTATCAGTAGCTGAGGTGAGATCCATAAAAGAAAACCTTCTTGGTCCGGCTCTTCTTTCGAGATCATCGTTCATCGATGTCAAGTTTGTTGTCTATGGCATACCCCTTGTCACATGCTTCTTCCTCCACCATATTATAAACGCTATAACCGTCCCGAATATAATAAGAACACCAGCTGGAACTACGACACCGATAACTATCCCAATATTTCGTGATCCGTTGCCGCTTGTTTTTTCTTCCACGGTTGAATTGAATTCCCAAGATTGGAGTGTGTTCTGCTCTACATACTGACCTGTAGCAGCTGAAAAACCAACCATGATCCACTCAGGTAAAACCGTCATGAGATCAATCTGATGTGAAAGACTCGAAGTCTCTAGAGGATCATTCGTGGTCTGATAGCTCCAAGACACGGTTAAGTTCTTCGCCGTAGCGTTGTAGTTAATGGTTACATCCGCCGTCTGACCATTATGAAAGCTAGCGTTCCATCTGGTGTAGTTCGCCGAAGAAATCGAGTTCACGTTGATCCCGACGTGACTACCGACACCGGGCGGATCCCATCTGGTTTCATTGTTTTCGTACGTGTCAAACTCGACATGAACAATTTGGTTCCAAGGTGAATAGCTGGTTGTATTGTTGAATAATCCCAGAAAGCCACCACCTGAATTCGGGGGGATCTGAGAGCCAACAGGAGCAAGAAAGAAGGCAAGTCCATGACCATAATCCGGACCAAACAGAGAAATGGCAAAGGAGAAGCGGGTATTAAAGTCGGCAAGCCGTCGAGTTCTCGAGTCCCACAGTGGCACCTGCTGGACATATGTTCCCCATCCGACTCGGTAAAGATAATCGATGAGGTTGAACTCGATGGCTCCGACCGCAGGTCATGCATTACCTTGGTAGAAAATGTTGTTTGCGTTTGAATCAAAACGAGATATTTGGAAGTTTAGTGAATTGGAAAAGGGAAGTGTGGAAAGGAACGGTACCAGAACACATAATTTAAGCGAGTTGATAACTTTATAAATTTTAAAGGAACTAAACTAACATTTTAACATCTTGGGAGGTCAAAATACAGTTTTACCGTTTCATTGACTTGTGACTATGTAAACTTAAAAGGATTCAGATGTTTGATAAACTGAAATATTAAATACTGAAAAATTAAGTATTTAATTTAAATTATCAATTTATTTGGCATTTTCTTTAAAATTAAATATAGAATATAAATAGATTGCTTGATAAATTATAAATTTTGAAGGGTAATATAGTTAAAAGAAATAAAAACAAATTAACTGATGTTGAAAATAAATTCGATCCTCCTACGATTATTGCAGGTGTTATCTTCTTGTTTACAAGCATCCACCAATATTTACCAAAGGAACCATCTTTTCCTGGTAGGAGTTTTGCTTGGTTCATCCTCTTTTCTGTTCTCCACTCCCAGTTTTAACGATTCCAGTCTTTTCCTGCACAAACTAAATGTAAGATATACCAGGAGGAAACATGAAAAAAACTGTGAAAAAGTGCAGGGTTCCATTCACAACATGGAACCCCTTACTGTTTACGAGATTAAAGGATACAAGAAAGATGGGGAAAACAGAAGAACAAGTATTTGAATCATGGGATGGTACTAATAGACATACAGTATCTGGGAAAAAAGAAGATTCTTCGTCGGAAACATTACTTGGTATCCATAAGTCGACCGTGCAGGCTCCATCTTTGGCGAAATCCTTCAATGCCTTCCATTCCACTAGCTAGAATCAATCGCCTACAGAATAGATGTAACATATGATTCAGTTCCAATGATGATCAAATAGTTCTATATCACACTACTATGGTTGACGAAAGGAAAAAAGGTCAATTAACTAGTAACAAAACTTGTATTACACCCAAGTCTTCCTTCTTCTTCAAGTATCTGTAGTCAGCATTTAATTCAGGTATACTCTAGTCATTCACATATCCATATTTGACACTTGCTCTCGAGACCGAGTAACATGGGACGAATCAGTTTCTCGAAAAGAACATGTTATTTTCTTTCTTTATTACTTTGAAGTTCATTTCCATCCAAGATGCTTCATTAATGAGGGAAGAAACATTGGTGAGGTACTAATTTGGATCTTTAATTTTCATAGAGAAGACATCAGAGAGGTTGATATTTACAACTTCTGCTCAAAGTTTTATGGATACTGAGAAAGCTATTTATTTTTAAGATGAGTGCTAGACTTGGAAGCAGCCAGTAATAATTGTTGAAAGGGCAATACTTTAGGATTATAAAAATCCATGGATTCTTACAAAAGACATACTAATATCCTAACCATTTACCTCTCCAATGATGTGATTTCTGATTCAAGCTTCCCAACTCTATCCTTTGCTTGATCAAAAGGCATTGACAACCCCAATTTTCTCTCACTATCTTGAAGCCGTTGCCTTAGTTCCTTGTCCTAAAACTCAGATTTCCAAACAAACTTGAGGAAGCTAATTCGATGAACTGATTCGTGCTTCTGGAATAACCATTAGAAATCTTACCCTCTTTTCAGCACATTGTCGATATAATGCAAGTTCATCTTGACAGAATGGCTCGATATCATTAATCTGCAGACCTACGGCATACCGCATAATTAAGAAAATAATCAATAATGTCACCAAAAGGAATGCAGATGTAACATTAGCTTATCAATATTGCACATAGTTAACCTTTTACATAAGATTGTCAATGAAAAATAAGACTTACACAAAAATAAATTCCGTAAGATCCCATCACATAACTCGACGCCTTCAAGCACATGAGATGCAATTTCTTGTGGGACGACAGGAGACGGTGGCCCCATCATTAGATCGTCGCCGACTAATATCGTTTCCTCCATTGTTGGTTGTGAATCAACTGAAACCCCACAGCAGGTAAGAAGAAAAGTCACTCATGAGCATTGGTCATTTATACTAAAGAAAAATTCATGTCTAGGCAAAGACATGAGCAATGTTTATATGCCAGTTAACAATTATTAGGTACAATTTCAACTCGAAAACGAAAACTATGTTCAGTCATACTTCTACAAATAACAAAAAAAAAAAAATCTTTCACAATTCAACTAAATTTACAAAGAAAAAGCAATTTACTTTGAATTTAGAAAACATAAATCAAATAAACTCTTTAATTACTGATGCAATAACAGGCATCTAAAATTAAGATAGCAAAACCTTCACATACCATCCATGGCTGCTTTCCAGTTAGGGTTCCACCCAGAAAGAACTTAGAGTTCTTGTAGAGTTTAATTAAACATGTGAAGTACAAAGAAGAAATAGAATCAAGAGTTTCTGAGCCCTTCTTGCTGGGGGAAAATCCAAATAAAATTCGGGCCTTTAAGAGGTCTGTAAATCCCTTAAAAATTGGGCTTCCTCCAGTTATGGACTCAAAGATATTTCAAAGCCGATTTCTCTCGGGTAATCCAGTCCTTGCACTTTTCGCTCTACTCGTCGCAATTCCTTTCATAGATTTCCGATTCTCATTTGATTTAAGCACTTTGGGTCAAGGGCATAAAAGATTCAATTGGTCGGTAGAGTGAATACAGGTAAAGATGGGAGGAGGAGAGCATGGAGCTGAGGGTTTCAGGACGAAGGTGTGGAGCATGTCGGGAGGCCCATACTGCCGCCCCAAGCACTGGCGTCGCAACACTGCCATTTCCATGTTCGGCGTTTTCCTCATCTGCATCCCCATCGCCATGAAATCAGCCGAGCTCGAGGTTGCTGTTCTATCACTTTATTACTGTTTTCAATTGCTATTTTGAACTCCTGTTAACCTAACTATATGAATTGTTGGGTCTGGGTTTAACCCTCACATCATTTTGTAGGATTAAAATACAAATAGTTTTGGGCACATGTGTTGTATAATACGATTATAAAATAGGATACAAAATTAAATTACCAATTATATTATAAATTTTATGAATATTAGATATAGATATCATAATTTGTATTTATAATTTGATGAATAATTAAATTATACACGTTTAAAACTGATTTAATAATCATAAATATAAGAACCAAGTTAACTTGTATTTATCTCCATTCTATCAAAGAGTTCTACAAAAAAAATAAACCTATAATGTGTTTAACATGACAGATTCATGTTATTAAATCTCATATCAGTTATCTTTTGGTTTTATCACATTTGGACTTAAGATTGAATAGATTGGTAAGGAGGAACTTGAAATTGCATGTTCTGAAGTGTATGCTTGTACTTTGTTCAAAAAAGAAACTTTATGCTTGTACAACCGTTTGTTGAAGCTTTGTTAGCTTATTAACAAAGAGTATTAACTGTAAAGGTTTTGCTCATCCAGACATTTAGTTTAATGTTATTTTGGTGTATAGCATTGTCTTTTGGTTACTCTTGTTTTAAAGTTTGGTTGTGGAAAACAAAGTTCTTATATTTATGAAAATTTCTCTCGGTTTCGACATAATCGATATCAGTTCCGTGCTTAAAGCCTTGTTTATCTAGTAATTACTAGCAGTGCATTTATTCCTGGTCACATACCGACTGGCCTAACGTTTCCCAGTTGACATGATAATGTAAGTTTGAACTTTCTTACATTCTCTTCGAGTTATGCCGATGGCATGTTGTGCACAAACAAATTTAGCTTTTCTAGTACATATAGCTGCACGCTTGTTCTTGATTGGATACTGAGAGGCCTAATGTTTCCCATTTTTCAAAAGAATGTAACATTGCATCTTCTTACTTTCTCTTCTGCTGGAATGGAAGTTCAGTTCACCATTGTCATTGGCACTTACTCTCTGATCTTGTACTAGCCACTTTTCTTTTGTTGATTCATATGCACTTCTTGTCTTCATAGATAGCTGCTGCACCGAACTTTTTGACCCGCCACAGCCGAGACAAATTGCTGCATATCTAATTCCGAGTAGGGGTGATAACTGAGTTGAGCTGCTCGAATTCAACTTGGTTAAAACTCAATCAATGCTCGACTCGAGATCCACTCAAAATTTCCGAGTAACTCAATAGCAGAAACTAGACACGATATGTTTCAAAACTGTGACTCAATCTACTAACAATGACTTCTTCTATACTTGTTTTTATCAGCTAGCCTACATTACCATGATATTTTCAGCTAAAAGGTGAGTTTTTTTGTTTTGTTTTTTGTTGCAGCAACGGCCTCATCAACCTGTTCGTCCGACTCCTTCACAGCTCTGGTGCAAGAACTTTGTAAACAAAGATTATTAAAGACAGTCGTCGTCGGCACGCTGATGATCACGGCTCGAACTAGTCTATTTATGGCAGTTTAGCACAGTAAAGTTGTGATCAATAACTTGTGACTGTTGCTTTCACCGTAAAGTTAAAAACCTTAACAACTGGCTTTGTAAGTCGGTTCATATTTTTGTTACCGGAGAGATAAATTAATAGCTACTTGTATTTGCATGTCTGCATTATTGAGTATGTTACCTTAAGATTATAAAGCTGAATTCATAGACTAATTAATGGTTAAATGGAAGCTAAAGCTAAATCTTTTTGACGTGTGAAATAATAATAATAATAATAAAGCTTAGTCCATGAATTAGGCGTATTTTTTCAAGTTGGTGTCTAAAGAATTTTAACTCTTAGATTAATGTCCGAATCTTGATTTCATAAAATATTTTAATATTTTTCTAGTCGTATTAACTTTTGATAACATGGTAACAAAAAATTATATCACATGCTAATGTTAATATCACTATTTTATTTTTAATTTTTTTAATTATTAGAAAAATAAAATATTTAAAATAAAAAATAATTTAAAACTAATCGACTAATCTTACCCAATTCTCTCTAATAGACTACTCTACACAGTTGTTAATTTTTGTTTGAACTTTGAATATGTTCCTCATTTTACCCTGGGAAAAACTCTTTATTTATTTTTAGTGTAGAGTCATATATATTTTTATTGTCCTCTTGATTTTAAAGTTTTATCTTGAGAATTTGAACATATTTGCATCGCATATTTGATTTTGATATGTAAGTCTCTCAGTATAATTTTTTTATATATATAAAGACTCAAACTCGAGATCGTTTAAAGGATATTAAACTTTTATTACTTGAATCAACCCCTATGGGTTAAAATCACATATTTTCATTCTTCCTTTTATTGTTTTATGGTTAAATACATGAGCTATATACTTTGATTTTTAAGAAAAAATTATAAAAATTCTCAACTGGGTTGGGGTTCGGGTCAGACCTATCCGATGAAACCGATTCTTGTGGACGGGGTAGGGGGAGAAAAGAAAAACTGGTGGTGGGATTGAAGAGGATAAACTCGGTTAGTGAAGCAACGTCCTGGAGAGAGGTGGTGAACCTTGATGAACACAAAGCACAGTTGCAGTGAGGAACCGCTATGGGCGACTCCTTACTTTAGGTTGCTGAAGATAAACATGGATGCCATGCGTCTCTGCTTGTCGTCCTAATTGCAGCTACTATGTTTTCTGTTTCCATATCCATTTAATCTGCAAAAAAAAGAGCATTTATTCAAAGCCAGATTTCATTAACGGATGCAATTCTTAAAACCCACACAGAATTTAGCCATTTTGGAAATTGATAAAAAAAAACCAAAATCAGTTCAAAGACTATGATCACGAGTGAAAAATTGCTATTCTAGTAGCTTAAAAAGAGGAAATTCAGAGACTTTGGCGTTAATGACTAACAGCCTAAATATCAATATAAACAACATTTACTTGATTCAACCCACCATTTTTTTCTTTTTTTTTCGAAGATGAAATGAAGGAGCTGAAAATGTTGCAAGGCTAGGAGGGAAGTCTTGTCCTTTTGATGAAAGATTCAGTAAATGAGTGTGTAATTTTGTATCTCAAATTCAGATCATTTTGCAGACAGATTCTTAATGTTTCAGTGTTCTTAAAATTATTGATTTTAACTTCCATTGGCAATGCAATATTTTCCACAATGTCAAAGTGGTTCAATATTTAGCCTTGTTTGTAAAGTGGTTCAATATTTAGCCTTGTTTGTAAAAGGAGACCAAAACCTCGTATAAAAGCAAAAACATACATGCTAACCCGTAATTCTTTTAAAGCAAGACCTACCCAGTAAAGCTTTTACGCCGACACCCACTCCTTCCAATTCCAAGTTAATGGATTCATTGATGGGTGGCGAGGTAGAACCCCCAAAAAAACCTGGGTTTTTCGTGGCCGTCCATGTCGGCGCCGGATACCACGCCCCTTCCAATGAAAAAGCTTTAAGGTCGGCTATGAAACGCGCTTGTCTGGCTGCTGCTTCCGTTCTCCGTGAAGGTCCCGGTGGATCTGTTGATGCTGTTGCAGCGGCTATTCAAGTGCTCGAGGTAAATAAAACCCAATTTCTCTCTCTCTTTCCTTTTTTTTTCTGAGAAAATACTGGTCTTTGGGTAGGATCCATTTGAATTAAAAATGTTTTTTTTGGGTAAAAGGATGATCCCTGCACTAATGCTGGCAGAGGCTCTAATTTGACTGAAGATGGTAATGTGGAATGTGATGCAAGTCTTATGGATGGTCAGTCTGGTGCATTTGGGGCTGTTGGAGCTGTGCCTGGTATTTTTTGTGTGTGTTTATTTTGATCAAATTTTGTATTTTTGTTGAAGTTACTCGGTATCCATTTTGTTGAGTTTAGACCAGGTGTTCCAAATGCTATTCAGATTGCTGCTTTGTTAGTAAAGGAACAAATGAAAGGGCCTCCTTTGTTGGGTCGAATACCTCCCATGTAATTAACAACTGCTTGCCCTTGCTACTATTGAATTGTTATAAGTTCATAGCATTCGTCTTTTGTCAAGTTTTCATTTTTATTGTTGTGGCTGTTGTTTCCAACTATGGCCTTTTATATGTGTTTCCCAAGGTTCTTGGTCGGTGAAGGTGCACGTCTATGGGCAAAATCTAAAGGCATTGCCTTGCCTGAATCTATGGTTGAGGCTAATCAGGTGTTTGGGTTTTCCTGCAATTACGTGTTCATTTTTCTTCTTAACAGTTCTTATTCCATGTATATTTTCCAGTAGATCATTTGTTTCTTTAGTAAAATTTTCTTGTTTCTACTTCAAAATAGCGATTGGTGATACCAAAGGCGAAATCACAATGGAAATATTACAAAGCAATGCTACTTGGTGCCAAGGCTGAGATTGATGCTTCTTCTGAAGGCAATCCTTGTAATGCACAGCACAATGCATCAACACAAGGTATTCAACGGTTCTTATGAGAGTTAAAATGATTCCTTTTTTCCATTTATGAAGGAATAATACCTTTTCATTGATTATATTTAGCATCTTTACTTGCTTATAGATTTGACCTCTTATTCCTTTCTTCCTGGAACACTATGAACTCTGTTCTTGTTGTTGCACCCATTTGTATGTTTTAAAAAGATTATGTAAATATCAGCCTTGGCACCAAGAAGCATTGCTTTGTAATGTTTACATTCTCCTCTACCAGCATTCATGATTTCTCTGATATCTGATTGCTTACAGTATTGCTGTTTCTTCGAGTCTCTTCTGCATGTACTTATATTTGATCATTATCTTTTAAGATTTGCCCCACTTAAGCTCGGAGATATATTCCATATCAATAAGTTTTGAAAAGATTGTTTAACTGAAATTGTGCGTCTGTACGTCAGCCTCAAATGCTCAAACTTGTGATAACTTGGAGGAGAACAGTGGAGGTCAATCATGTACGCTCAGCCCATCAGAAGAGGACAATATCATGGACACTGTTGGAGTTATTTGTGTCGACACTGAAGGAAATATAGCATCAGGAGCCTCTAGCGGTGGTATCGCACTGAAGGTGATAATTACTTGCTGAATTTCATTCTTCTTGGAGGCTATATAATTAATGAGACATGTTCCCCACAAAATTATGGCAGGTCTCCGGTCGTGTGGGATTAGCAGCAATGTATGGTTCAGGCTGTTGGGCCTCATCGAAAGGACCCTTTGGGGCTCCTTTCATAGTTGGTTGTTGTGTTACCGGTGCTGGAGAACACCTAATGAAAGGATTTGCAGCTCGGGAGTGCTGTGTCTCATCATCACTGTAAGATTCTTTAACAAAAATATGCCCCTTTGCATGACAGAAGTTTCAGTTGTCTTAAAAAATGGTCCTTGTTGAGTTGTAGGTTGTCACTGATAAGTTTTTACTTTCATGCTTAGTTCGCAGGCAGGTCCTGCCTCTGCTTGCATGAAAGTTCTTCGCCCCATTGTTCACGATAACAGTCAAACTGATACTGATAAAAGTGCTGGGATTTTACTTGTTCAAGCCGATGCTCCTATAAGGGTGAGATCCCGATCAAACCACAATATATCTTTTTTGTATAATATATCTTTTTGTATTACATTTATCGATTTAGTGTTTATATGTGGATTTATCGGTTTAGGTTCCAGGAAATCCTGCAAAACTGGAAGCTATAGAGATTGCAGCTGCTTACTCTTCCTTGTCTTTCGGGATAGGATATTTTGGTAGCGCCATGGAAAGGCCTAAGGTATGATTCTTGCTACAATATTAGAGTTGAAATATATATTAATCTCCAATCCATGTGTTGTTATTTTTCATTTCTCAGGTTTCTATTCTTAGGAGAAGTAAACAGCAGAACAGATCTGGAATTGATCATTTTGAAGCTCGATTTAATCTTTCTACTGAAATTTTGCCATGAATCTTTTGTTTTTCTAAGGATAAACTATGCCGTCAAATTTCTCCATTTTTCTTCTCCTCTTTGGGACTGTGCTGTATTCTTTTCCAATGTACTATAAAAAGAAGGCACTAATGCCAGTAGAGTAGATAGTCAATTAATGGTTAATATCAATCTTTTTTTGAAGATTCGATGAATAAATATGAATATATATGGAGTAAAATGATAATTTTAAAAATGAACTGTTACTCAAATTATAATTGGTAATTAAATTATATTTTATTATAATTCGAATATTATTTGATGATTAAATTTATTTAATAAGTGAACACTGAGAGTTTACATTGTAAAATATGTGTTTTGTAGGAACATTGAGTGATTGTTTTGGGATATACCAAATTTTGATATATAAATTCATTTTGAGATATATGAAATGTGATGTGTTTATACTCTTTGTGATTGCTACGTTAAGTATTAAAATCATTAAAACTAGTTACATTTTTTGTCAATTAATATAAAAATAGAAATTTGACTTTTATAATAAAAAAAATTAATAGTCCAGTGTGATTATGATGTAATGCTTATTCAGAATTTTCTTATTCAATCAATAACAATTGTACACCTTACAAATGTAACTATTCGAATTCAATATTTCTAGAATGAACAACATTTTCTTTTATCTTATCGCTTAAATCATTTGACGTGTTTGACTTTTTTAAAAAGTTGAATGTAAAAAATGTGAATGGATGTATTAAGAAATTGGGTCATTATGATTTTATTCACGCTAGATAACACAACATGAACATCACCAACTTACATAACCAAGTTCCATATGAAAGCTAAAAACACTAGTTTCTCTCCCGTCCTCGTTTACTATATTTAAGCTCTTCAAAATTTTAGGATCTCCAACAGGTGTCCCAAAGTACCAGCTCAACCCCATCAAAGAAAAGTCCAAGTCCCCGTTATAAGTTGGAGATTTACCACTTGTATTATAAAGATAGAGCAAAGGGAATTGTTCCGATCATCAGCTCTCTTTTGTCAGACGCACCACAAACCAGGGTGGGCAAGTTGCCTTTTTTGTTCTTGCCCAACAGTTGCTTTGTTTGATTAAAAAAAAGAGTCTTTTTCAACCAAATTCTAACCCTAAAACACAGGCTATGGCATTCACAGGAACTTTGGACAAGTGCAAGGCTTGTGACAAGACTGTCTATGTGGTCGACATGATGACCCTTGAAGGTGTGCCCTATCATAAAACCTGCTTCAAATGCACCCACTGCAAGGGCAAACTTGAGGTATCTTTCTATCTTTTTTTAGTCGATTGCATCGATGTCTTAATTCTGTGAACTCGAACAATGACACTTGATGTCTCGATCGTTGCGTTTCATAGATGAGCACCTACTCTTCCATGGATGGAGTCCTGTATTGCAAGCCTCATTTCGAGCAACTATTTAAGGAATCTGGCAACTTCAGTAAGAATTTTCAATCAGGTAAAATTTGTATCTTTTATTTATCCGAATTCAAATATCATTCACTTGCATGGTTAGGGCTAACAATATTGATTTTCTTTGATTATAATATCTGCAGCTAAGTCCGACAGAAAAGATGATCAGATATATATAATTTTGATATAATTAAAATATTTTAATTTGAGTATTGTAATATGCAATTTCTGGAGAGAACAAAAAATGTTGCAACCGAGGACTCCCAGCAAACTTTCATCCATGTTCTCTGGAACCCTAGACAAATGTGCTGCTTGTGAGAAAACAGTGTACCCTCTAGAAAAGGTTACCATGGAAGGGGAATGTTACCACAAGACATGCTTCAGGTGTGCCCACGGCGGGTGTCCGTTGACGCACTCGTCGTACAATGCGCTCGACGGCGTGCTGTACTGCAAGCACCATTTCGCTCAGCTGTTCATGGTGAAAGGGAATTACAGCCACGTTCTCCAGGCTGCTGCGCACAGGAGGAACAGCTCCACCGCGTCATCCACAGACCTAGCTGAAAACAACCGAGCTGATCAAGAAGATGATGCGGCGGCTGATCAAGACGACTCTGAAGAAAACTCATAATTAGTAATAATAATAATAATAAAAGAGGAGGAGAGGAAGAAGAAATTGATATTATCGATGGATTCTTTCTATTATAAAAATTTTCCTCTCATACGTAATAATATTTTCTTGGAGCTTGAAAAATTGTGTACAAGTTTGATTGATTGGCAGGGCAGATGCTATGGAAAAGTTGATATTTGAATACTTGGTCTTGATTGTTCACACTTTGTTTTTGGATAATATAAAACGAATTGTTTCCTGCTTGTTTCGTCTTTAGATTTTATTTGCAACCTGGCCTATTTAGTTGTGTGGTATCAAACCAATCTCATCGATTATTGGTTTACTCATTTGTATTTAATTAATTTTCTAATTAATACACATATATTATAATAGGTTATTCTTTGACTTTTTTAAATTCATCTTAGAAATCAATATAATTGCCTTATTATCTTCCATCACTGTATTCTTCATTGGAACTTACAAAATTAAATAAGAAAAATCCATCATTTTCATTTGGATTATTTATCCCAAAATCTGAACTTAATTTGAAAAATATTATTCTCGAATAATACACCTCTAAATTAACTTTATTAGATGGTCATAAGAGGAGATCAAAATATTAGCATATTAAATCTTTAGATGAATTTTCATCAATTTAGAGTGAGTTTCGTCGACAAACAATCTGAGTAGAAAAAAGAGAAGGAAATATAAATACTTTAGTATCGATCTTCTCATGAATGATAATTGATGATGTATAATGATTGACCACTAACTATGATCGAAAAGTTCAATGTCTAAAATTGAAACATGTTAAAATTTAATGATAAAACCGATACATAATTAAGAAGTTTACATAATTTTAAAAAAATAATGTCACGTCGTGCTATTAATTTAACCTCAATTTTAATTTAATTCATCAATAAGATAATGACACATGGTGACACATATCATTATCTGATCGGAATAATTTTTTTAATTTTAATTATTTAATTTAATCAAATGATAATACATTTTTTGATTAGTAAAAAATGAATGAAACAAGAAATAAGTAAAAAGAAATACGTGAATCAAATTTTAGATTGCAAATATTTGAACTTAGATGTAATAAGACATTGAATAATATAGAGTATTTTTTTAGTAGTATAGGGTGATTAAAAGTATACCCATTCATATATATAAAGTATGTTCAATTCTCAATTTCATACATATTTTTTAAAAAAAAAATTCAATTTCATAGTGTTTTCTATCATTAACGGATTTTCTACCATTAACGGATTCACCAATTTCTGTCACGGAATGTGACATGGAACTATGACAAAATGCCATGTGACACTTTAAAAAATATTTTTGAAGTGTCACGTCACCTTTCGTGACTAAAATGGGTGAACTTATTAACGGTAGAAAACATCATATATGAAATCGAGAATTTTTAAACATTATATATGAAACTGAGAATTGTGTATAGTTCATATATGAATGAGGTAATTAATCCTTAAAAGTAAGGAGGGAATTTAACCCGAAAACAATGGGTTTCGACTTGATCCAATTTGATAAAGTCTGATTTTTTTTTTAAAAAAATCAGATTTGGGCCGGGTCATATTTTATATAAGGGGTGAGATCAGGTCGGGTTTGGGTGGAACATGAAAAATCTTCAACTCGACACCACCCAGGAATAATAGTGTATTTTTTCATATAAAATTTATGAATAATTGTTATAATATCATTCTTTATATAGTTTTTTAAAATTAGGTTCTTATTTTATATCGGGTTGAGTCGTTTTATAATCTAAAAATTCGGGTCGGATCAAGTTCGAGTGAAGGAAAAATGTTCTCCGAGTGAGGTGGGTAATATATATTATTCGGGTCGGATCAAGTTCGGGTATAAGGTATATATATATTTCGGGCCGGGTTAGGTTGATCTAAAACTTGATTCGTTACCATCCCTAATTAAAATATAGTATATACTTAAAATCTTTCTTAATCGTTGATATCATAAACACCCGACAAATATAATTGTTCAAATTCAAAATTTCTAGACGGAACATAATATATATATATATATATTAAATTATAGTTAACAATCATATTTTCGTTTAATGCTAGTTTATTTTTTGGTAATTTATTTGATTACCGAAAGGTATAATTATATAAGTTTACTTAATTATTACACCACGTTATTATAATTTCGTTAAATATTAACAGTTAATAACGCGAACAAGGAGTATATTTTAGTAGTTTAGTAGCTTACCCAAAAATAAACCAGAGGACAAACATAAGAATCTATATGGATGCCCTAATTTAATATTGTTGGCAAACTCAGATGCGACTATGATTTAACCCATTCCTGTTCTCTACTATTTTCGTTGGAAGATCTAACATCTTCTTTGCCTTGCCACCGAAAATCAAACAATTTAAAAATCTTAGCGCCCTTTCCCCAAACCCCAAATCATTCGATTTCTTCTCCGGAAATCATTTCATTTTTGTTTTGTTTTCAATAGATCTGTGCAGAAGCATCCTCAATTTTCACTCAGATTTGTGATATAACCTTTTTCCTTTTCTTTAATTTGATTCAGCTAACAAATCGTAGCTTCTTTCTTTTGTTTTAGGACGGCCCTCGGTTTAGCCACTATTTACGGCGTTACCCCTTTGTAAGAGGCCCTAGTTTTGCGGGGTTTTGTTTTTGTAGATTCCGGAGATTAGGATTGTGATATGAATAGTGGAGGGAGGTATCCACCGGGGATCGGTGTTGGTCGAGGCGGCGGAGTGAACGCGAACCCTAGTTTTCAGTCGAGGCCTTCGCAACAGCAGTACGTGCAGAGGAATTTGGTGCAGAATCACCAGCACTTTCAACAACATCATCATCAGCAACAACAACATCAGCAGCAACAGCTCTGGCTCAGACGAAACCAGTTGCCTGGCGGCAATGACTCGAATGTTGTCGATGAGGTCGAGAAAACCGTACAATCCGGAGCCGTCGACTCAAGGTCCCTTTTAATTTCTTCTTATTTTTTGTTGTTATTTGGATATACTCGAAGAATAATTTTTCTATTGTATTTTGTGGCATATCTTTCAATAGAAAACGATTTTACAGGTCTTCGAGTATCCCAACAAGCAATATTTCTAGGGTTTGATTAAGGCCCGAATTTACCTTTTGATTGGCAGGACTCGATTATTTAGAGCAAGGACATGACGAGGGATGGGCAATTTATGTTTTGCTCTTGTGGTTTTAGACCTTTAATATTTTATTTAACTATGAGTTGGAATTTTATCTTGTATATGCCGTGGATTGTAACTTAATCTTTAGGTGATTTTTCACAAACTGAGTTTGCCGTGCTGCGTTTTCTCTTTAACAAACTTATCGCGTTTATTGTGTATGGTTTCACAGCTGTTCACCACTTTTCTTACATCCTCTTTCAGTTCACAAGATTGGAAGGCAAGGCTAACTTTACCACCCCCAGATACACGCTACAAAACAGAGGTATTTATGTAAATGATATTTGTTGGTGTTGAATGTTTACTTCCTTGTTAATGATATTGTACACTGTATAATTATGGTTTTATAATTTCTTGAATGATTTTATATTTTTCACTTTGATAGTCTCCATACCTTCATCTTCATGGAATATTAAAAATTCTTCTCAACTTTTTAAATGATGAAGGAAAAATTGCTTTCTTATGTTTTTCTGGTGATGCAATTGGATCAATAGTTTTGAATTCCTATTATCCTATTATATAAAGTTATATATGTAAAACTATAGAAGTTTTTAACTAGGCTAATACCGGGGGTTTTGATGTTGAGGCCTTCTGTTGGTGCTATTTAGGCTTGCGGTTTTTCATCATTCATAGCATATCATCTTATTTTTGTGACATATATCTCATTACATGGCTTGATGGTAAAATGTTGGTATTTATAGTTGTTTCAAATCGTCTAATTACATGTTTATGAGCTGATCTGCCTATTAAATTGCTACCAGGACGTGACAGCTACCAAAGGAAATGAATTTGAGGACTATTTTCTTAAACGTGAACTACTTATGGGAATATATGAGAAGGGTTTTGAAAGACCTTCTCCTATTCAAGAAGAGAGTATTCCTATTGCTTTAACTGGAAGTGATATTCTTGCTAGAGCCAAAAATGGAACTGGGAAGACAGCAGCATTTTGCATTCCTGCCTTGGAAAAAATTGACCAAGATAACAATGTTATTCAAGGTTAAATCTCCATCTACATTTTCCCCCTCTCTTTGTATATATCAGTTATAGGTCCAGTTAATTGGTATTTGGTAATGGGTGCTTCATAGCTTTGCCATTTCTATTGTATATTCTAGTTGCCTGTTTTGCTTGTCAATCAGATATTGGAGAAGATGCATGAGTGCTGTTTGCTGCTTATATTGTTAACTTAGATTTGAATTATGGGCATTGGTATGTATGGACATAGTCAAGTGATGGTCAAACTTCTGTACCAGTTCGTGAAATGAGTGCATCAAGACATCTTGCAAATAGGTGCCAACCTTTTGTGTCTGTCCAGACATGAATTTTCACTCTTCTTTCTGAAACCCTTGCAAATAAAGTTCTTTATTTGAACCCTTTCGGTTTAGTATGAGATACAAGTCAATTCCCCATATCTATCTCATGATGTTACTTTTGGCGTAAGAATGTTATCAATGCTACCCTTGAATTCTGATTTTTCATTATTTGTTAAGTTACTTGTTTTGACTGATTATCTCTCTCTCTGTATGTTTGCACAGTTGTCATACTTGTTCCAACAAGAGAACTGGCTCTTCAGACGTCACAAGTTTGTAAGGAGCTTGGGAAGCATTTGCAAATTCAAGTCATGGTCACAACTGGAGGTACCAGTCTCAAGGATGATATCATGCGACTGTATCAACCAGTCCATTTGCTGGTTGGAACTCCTGGCAGAATTCTCGACCTTGCTAAAAAAGGTGTTTGCATTTTGAAAGATTGTTCTATGCTTATCATGGATGAGGTAATAATTTGGTAGTTTCTCTTTGATTTTTCTTTCAGTTTGATTTTCTTTTTGCCTTTCAAGTTTAATTTGAGATTTTTGATGAAGTTTGAAGTCTTTTGGATAGCTTTGGAGGAAAAGAGTTTTTTTTTTGGAATCTTGGCAAATGTTGTTTTATGGGTTTCTTTCAGGCAGATAAACTTCTGTCTCCAGAGTTTCAACCATCTATAGAGCAGTTGATACGTTTTCTTCCAGCGAATTGTCAAATTTTGATGTTTTCAGCCACATTTCCTGTTACTGTCAAGGACTTCAAAGACAGATACCTTAAGAAACCTTATATTATTAATCTAATGGATGAGCTTACTCTGAAGGGTATTACACAATATTATGCATTTGTGGAAGAAAGACAGAAAGTCCACTGCCTAAATACTCTTTTCTCTAAGGTTTGATGTTATAAAAAACTTTATCTAGTTTTCTATCTTTACCTCTGTTTGGATGAGTTGTAATATTTATTTACCTACAGCTGCAAATAAACCAATCAATCATTTTCTGCAACTCGGTGAATCGGGTGGAACTGTTGGCCAAGAAAATTACAGAGCTTGGCTACTCTTGCTTTTATATCCATGCGAAAATGCTTCAGGACCATCGTAACAGAGTATTTCATGATTTCCGCAATGGTGCATGCAGGAACCTTGTTTGTACTGGTATGTTATACCATGCTGTGTAATTTTGGGATGTGAGCTAATCTTTGTTTTCTGTTTGATTCTTTAACAAGTAAATCAGTGTTGTATAGCTGAGAGTTTGTAGTACTTTCTTTTTACAGTGTTTTCTGTACTAGGCATTAACTTTCTTTTCATTTAATATTGCCTTTTTCTTTTTGTTTTGCTAGAAGATAACAACTTTCAACCCAACGTTGCTGGCTTTAATTTTTTTTAAGCAACATATTTCACATGCTTTATAATCAATTCCTGATGCTGTGCAGAAAACAGTTTTACTCTTCATAAGCATTTTGTGATACTCATCTTGAAGAATAATCTCCTAATGATATATTTGTACTTGTGCAGATCTTTTTACGAGAGGTATAGATATCCAAGCTGTTAATGTTGTTATTAACTTTGACTTCCCCAAGAACTCAGAAACATACCTTCATAGAGTATGTTGGTTAAGATATTTTCTCTCTTGTAAGTTGCAAGGTTCATATCATTCTTTTTTGGAAATCCTAATGGATGTTCTTTTAATGAGCAGGTTGGTCGATCAGGAAGGTTTGGTCATCTTGGATTGGCTGTGAATTTGATCACTTATGAGGACCGCTTTAACTTGTATGTTACCATATCAAACTTCTGTAAACTTTAGTATTATATACATTGAGGTTCTGATTCACTGAAATTCTGTGGTCCTTTGTTACACAGGTATAGGATTGAACAAGAACTTGGAACTGAAATTAAGCAAATTCCTCCACACATCGATCAGGCAATTTACTGTCGATGATTTATGGTGCATGTTTCCTGTTCAGCCTATGGTGGTAAACAAAGGTGAGCTACCATCCTCGTGTCCAGTTTTAGATTATTACGTGCATGCTTTATTTGATCTTTGTACTCATGCGATTTATATGCTACAGTTACTGATGACGAACAACGGTTTGCATGTTTTTTAGGTTATGAAGCTGGTCAATCAAGGTGTTTGCCCTGGGAAAAAATTAAGTGGTGTTTGGTAAATGACATGTATCACTGCTGTATGCATGTAATCCCCGAATTCTTGTATCGATTCATCAAGTTCCATAGTCCTGAAATGTTGACAGGATAGTAGGAGAGAATATAGAAGAGTACTGCTTTTGATTTGATGTTTCAACATATGGGTTGGTACTTTTATGCTATAGGCTCGTCTTGGTGGACTGGTTTTGAAAGGTTGTAGCTTTGTGCAAAGAAACTTTTGTGTTTATCTTGGTGCAGTTGCTCATCCTTGTCATACGGATAAATAAAAGCATCTGACATTTTAAAAAAGAATGGCTTTTCCTTGACGCTTTCCAATTTTCAATCTGTGTAATCGATATAACTATTTTCTTAGAACATCTCATCTTGTTTAGGGATGACTTGAAAAAAATTAATTTTTTTTAGTTGAGTCGACACAAAAATTTTTGAAATAAAATTTAAGTTATTAAATAAAATTCGTCAATTCAATTAATTTGAATTTTTTTTACTTGACTTATTGAAATATTTATCCCTAATCTTGTTGATATTGGTATGGATGCTACTTAGATTCCTTGAAGAACCTTCCTCTAATGGTTCAAAGGATTTTAAATCCAAATCCGTGTAAAATTTATTTTATATAATATGCGTTTATTTTGAATTATAATCTGCATTTATAATCCGTGTAGAACAATAAAAAAAAAGATGAGTTTAAAATTGAATTATATTGTACCTCTTTCAAATCTCCTTCGTGAGATTGATCTTTGCACCCCTCCGAAAAGCTCTCTAGTTAAAACCCCATAAGAACATCTCATGACACAAGGATTTAGGGCCTTTACACCTTTTCAAAAGTCACGATTTCTCTATATGACTTCTAGCAGGTCTATGTGATTTGACATACCACTATAAATTTAAAGAAAGTTGAAGGATTATAGGTCAAATTTGTTTAGTTCATAGTATTTTTTTTTTTGGTGAAACGAACATTGAATTCACGTTTTGGAGGACAAAAAAGAATGAGCTAAAAATTTTGGGTCCAAAGGTCATCATCGATGTTGGGCATTGGTGATTGACAATAACGATGGTGAGTGGTGTCTGACGACGATAGATTTTGATAAATTTAGGGGTCAAATTAATAATATATCTAAAATTTAGAGTTAAAATGATATTTTATCTAAAGTTTAAGGGTCAAATTAAAAATTCATCTCTTCTACTAACGTGTCACATTTTCAAACTGCCATAAGTTAAAATTTAATGATCAAAATGTAATAATGAATAATATTAATGACCAAAATTTGATAAAGTGATAATATAAATGATTGAAATATATTTTTTAAATCAAGGATAAAAATGAAATTGATCATTAATGTAGTTCATCCAAAATTAAATTAACGAAAATTGATGAGTTAAATATCTCTTGCATCACTTGCTACAAAACTTTTGGATACAAAAGCCACCATACGATCCCACGTAATGCCTCGTAGTTCGCAAAGCCGCCGAGTTAGACATTTTTGAAGGAAAAAAGACAGAGAACATAATCAACTGAGCAAGCGGAGGAGATTTGAGTTGTGGGGAGAAGGGGGTGTTCATTTTCGGTTTTAACTGAGTTAATCGATCGAATTGAATTAGTTCAGTTAATTCGGTTGGTAGAGGAATAATTAATAAATTTTTTAGAATTCGATTAACGGTTAATTCGGTTCGAAATCGGTTAATTAATCGAATTACTCAAAATTAAATTTTAAATATATTATATATAACATATGAGTTTAACTCAAACCATTTAAAACCTAATTAATAATTTAATATTCAATAACTTTTAAATCTAAATCAATATTAATTAATTAAAAAAATATTATAAAATTTTATTTTATAATTATATATTATTTAAATTAATTATAAATTGTTTTTGAATTAAAAAATATTCAATTTTTATATAAATTAATTTTTTTAAAAATTCGATTAATTCAAAAATTAATCAAAATTTATTTAGTTCGGTTAACGATTAAAAAAAATTCGATTAATTTGGTTAATGATAATTTAATTCGGTCATTACCGTTTTAACCGAATGAATACTTCTCGGTAAAACAGATCAAACTAATTATTATCAAAATGATTCGGCCTATTTCAAAGACCCAACATGCATTTTTTTGCATTGGGCTCTTTCATTAACTGATAGAAAGATCAGCTAGTCTACCATATAATATATATTTTTCTAAGAGAAAAAAAGAAGATGGTTCCGTGTGCTCTGATTTATTACTGATACAGGAGCACTCCCAAAGTGTTTCAAAGAAAGGAAGGGTTATCTTGACGTAGGTCTGCTTATGCATTTACGATTCATGTCACGGTATTGATACTCTTGAAAGGTGTTCTATTTGCTCGCAGCTCGCGTTTGATACCGGATAAAGTAAATCTCGGTTTTCGTTTTCCTTGTGACGGACCTGGAAGAGGGGGGACATGTCAAGTATCCGCTTGGGATCATGTCTTCTTAGGACTATTCTGGATGTACAATTTAATTTCGGTAGTAATATTCCATTTCAGTTGGAAAATGCAGTCAGATGTTTGGGGTAGTATAAGTGATCAAGGGGTAGTAACTCATATCACAGGAGGAAATTTTGCACAGAGCTCTATTACTATTAATGGGTGGCTCCGCGATTTCTTATGGGCACAAGCATCCCAGGTAATTCAGTCTTATGGTTCTTCATTATCTGCAAATGGGCTTCTTTTCTTAGGTGCTCATGGAGATTTAGACTTCACAAATATAATAGCAGCAAATACAATTATATATATATATATAGGACATATGTGATAAATTGAAAGTTAAAATCTTCTCCACGCGCACAAATCAAATTCTTACGATAAAAATACCCATCTCTTCTTACAATAAAACTGGATAACATTGCATCATTTGTCGATTAACTATACGTTGTATTAATAAAAGATTTACGTTGTTATTAAATTGTTAATTGTTGTCTAATTTCCGGTGTAAAGTTAAACCTTCAACAACTCTACTGCCTGAATAATCCATCATCTTTCTCCCCCACTCGTCGAGAAAAGTAAACAACTCGTTGACTTTAGCAATCCCAAAGAATTACATTTAGTCCCCCCCCACCCTCGTATCACGTCGTCGTAATAGACTTTTGTGTTGACCCCAAACTCCATTTATGTTCGAAACCTTACCTTCCTGCGAGCTCAATAACACCAGCAGCTTAATTTTGACAGACTGGTTTTGTGCTTGTGAATACAGCTTCCATGGCGGAGCCTGTTAAGATTTTTCATGGCGTTTGGCCTTATGGAGATGAAGTGATGCAAGGTTGCTTTTCAAAGCTTGGGATTGGACGGCTCAAGGGATTTGTGAGGACGACGACTACCTTCGTGGAGAGAAGGCGGCACTGGACATTATATTCCCTGACTGAACCTTCAGGGGATGGTAAATTCTGCTACATATTGCTACTAATGCAGAACAAAATACCAAGTGTTTTGTTCCGGCAGGGTAGAGGTTAATATAAAGCCATGGGAGGAGATGGTTAGGGCAATCAAGAAAGAGGCGGCAAGGGTCCGGTGGGAAAAGAGGGAGCCTTACGCCTACTGGAAGGGCGCCGCCACCTCTAGAGATAGGTCCGATCTTCTGAAATGCAACCTCTCGCACAAACACGACGGGAATGTTCGGCTTTATTTACAAGTAATTTCTGGATCAGAAACCATAATGACTTTGGCAATGCTAATGAGTTGATCTGTAACTCTGAATTGTTATTGATGCAGGATTGGGATAAAGAAATAGGAGAAGGATTCAAGCATTCTGGTTTGGAAGACCAATGCAGCCATAGGTATAAAATTTATGCTGAATGAAGGACATGGTCTGTAAGTGAGAAATACATAATGGCGTGCGATAGTATGACCTTGATGATCAAGCCTAAATACTATGATTTCTTCTCGAGAAGCCTGGTGCCGATGCAGCATTTCTGGCCTATCCGCCGCAAAAAGAATGCAGACACCTTAAGTTTGCAGTTGATTGGGGCAATAATCATACTCACGAGGTGCGTATTCTCAACGAATCAAAGCATACAGATTGGATCAAATTCGATCATTTATGAACCAGTTCCACTCGGTGAATTTGCAGGCACAGGCCATAGGGAAAGCAGGAAGCAAATTTATTGAAGAGATGGTGTCAATGCGAATGTGTATGATTACATGTTCCATTTGCTGAGCGAATACTCGAAACTCTTGAAGTTTAAACCTACGATACCTCCGAATGTGCAAAGGGTATGTGCCGAAACAACGGTGCAAGGTTTTGTGAAGGAGTTTATGTTGCAGTCGATGGTGAAGTCTCCTAGTGATGAACTTCCATGTGCATTGACCTCAAGACATTCAAGCTTCCCGTAAGAAGCAAACATGATGAGGTATTGAGGTGGCAGCCAAGCTCACTCTCGGTCTCAACTACTGCAAGTGCTTTCCATTCTTCTGGTTTCTCCTCTGCTGACGGTGGAGATACAATTTTTTCTTCAGATTCAGCTTTTGGATCCTCCACTGCTGGCGGTCGTGCGGCAGTCCTGTTTCATTTCCTCCGCCGTAAGAGCGTAAGGAACTTTTCCCCCCTCAAATAGTATGTATATTTAGCAACATTTACTCAAATCAAATTGGAAAATGGCCTCTGTTATAGATCAAAAAAGATAACTGAAATGGTCTGTTAAAAGCTGGGACTTACCAGTGAGGTTCTCAACCCCACAACTACCAAAATCCAACCCTGTTCTTGAAAAACTTGTGATGGAGAGCAATGCCAAATTGAATCAAACCCAAAGTTCTTTGACCTGATGTCATGTAAGGATTGTTTCATTTTTCTGGATTGATTGAAACCTAGCTTTGAACTGTTGATGGGGATGGCAGGTCCACATATGCAATAAGCTTGCTAGCCGACGGCACATTCGGGTTGGTCTGGAAAATCCAAGTGATATTCCCAGCTATGACGTATGAGAAAATGAACCTGCTTATGGATTGCCGTTGCCTATCAATTTTACTTTTTATTACAGTCTTACACAGCTGTATTGCTTGATTAGAAGTTTTCTAAACTTATGTTCATGTAATGGAATGTGCACGTAGCTTTCTTTTACTGCGAGATAGATGGAAGTTCCCTCTGTTTGAAGTATAATATGATTGTACAGAATTCATTGAACGATCTTGCAGTCAAAAGAGTTGAGATTTATGATAATTATTTTTATTTTTAATTTCTTAAAATATATATATATATATATATATATATATAATTTTAATTAGCATTAAAGATTTCAAACGAGTGAAGATTATATTTATCCCTCATGAGTGAATTTATTTTTTAAGAGAAATAATTGTTTAAGACCAAATTAAAAAATTTAACGTGTGTAAGAAATTATAAATTACATAATAAGTCAAAAGAAACACATGTAAATAATTTTTTTATACAATAATTTTTGTAAGTTACAAGTACAATCACAATTATAATTATAGAGGGTGTTTGACAAATAACTGATAGCTGATAGTTGGTAGCTGATTCCAGTAGTTAATAGATCAACTGATTTGATTAGTTGATTTAAGAAATTGATTTGATTAATTGTTTTATATAAAAGTGTTGGTAAAATTTAACTGATAAGTGTTATGAGTAAAATGACAAAAAAAGGCAGATGCATTTAGTTGTTAAGTACATATATGTTTTATAATACTTTAGTCTTATTGGAGCAAAATTATTCGGATAAAATGCTTTTGACAAGGAATTGAAAATTTCTTAAGAAAATTAGTGGATGTTTTTGAAAAATTTGAATATATTTATTAAATTTAATATTTACAAATATTAACCTTGTGAGATTGATACATATTATTAGTCTTGTATAAAATATCAACATACATTTATTTTTCACTTTCATGTTTTGCTATATTTTGTTAAATAAAATATGTTTGAGAATCTACAGTTAAAAAATATAATAATTAAATAAAATTTCACTAATTCATCGTTAGATGTTGCATAAAATTCATTTTACACAAGTTCATTGAAAATAAATTTAGATTACATAAATATATAAGAATAGATACATATCCAAACAAGTACAAACAAATAGAAATATTTAAGAAATATGGAAATAATGAGGTTTTATAGCAAGGATGTAATTATGGAAATAATAAGGTCAAATATATCATTCAACATCTTATTTTGCAATCAGGTCTCCCAAACAGCTGAATTTTCTAGCATTTTCGTTTTCAGTTAATTTTGTACAAACAACTCTTTAAAAAATGTGTTTACCAAACACTAAACATTGAGGGTTTAACTACCAATCGACTATTTATACTCAAATAAACTAAAAGTTATTCAAAAAATTATTTACCATATATCCCCGAAACATATTTTAATAATTATCATAAGAATAAATTGTTATCAAATATAATTGGGTTGATAATTAGAATATATATATATATAACATATATTAATATTTAAAGTAAAAAAAATTGAATAACAAATCATATATGATATTTACAGATATTAAGATTCGAGCTTAAAATAAATAAAAACGTCTTAAGCCCTAACCTTATCATTAAAAGATGTAGATTAAACTTACATGTATGTATAAATTATATTATTCGAACTTGAATTATTTAGAGAAAATAAAATTTCATTTATCACTAAGACCATTTAAAGAATTAAACAAAAACTTAAGCCCATCAAATACTTATTTTCTTAATAAAGTTTCTAAATTATTCTTTAGTTGAATCCCATTCTTACGCTACAATTCTGTAATCAGTTTGGACTCACCATTACTTTCGTAAAAAATCTTGAGTCAATCAAACAATGACAGAGAAATAAGAAATAATTTAACAATATTTCAATTTAAAATTGAATAACTAATTAATTGGTTTAATTCTACGAGTAGCCCTTATATGTTTGTAACTCTCTCAACTCCTCGCTCACACCTATCAAGAAATATATACTGAAATATAGCTCTAGCTATCTTCTTTATATTATCTGCTTAGTTTCTAACAAAAGAAAGTCTTATATTACAAAATCAAATTATATTATTTTTGCATTATTTGGATTGTCGAACGGAACTCTTCCCTTTAAAAATCAAAGATAAATAGATTGAAGGGTTGAATTTGGATAAAATAATGAGTGAGATATTACATGTTAAAAGTCCAATTAACGGAAAATGAAGAAGTTTAGGGACTTGTTATGGAATTAAGCCTATTAAATATTGTACCTCAACGCGTAACCCTTTGGCTAGGGGATATCCCTTTGATTCCACCATGTAGTTCCGCCGCTTACTACAACTTTTATTAATGTAATTAAAACCACCACTAATTAATCAACAGTAAAACAGCACCGAAATAATTAAAAAAAGTTGGGAGTACTTTGAATCGGAGTCGAGTCAACTCGGTTATATGTCTCGCCAAACAAAAATTTTCCTTCCAAATTGAATCGATCCCGTCAATCTCACAGAATTAACCATTTAAGGCATTTTACAGCATCTTACCTTTCATATCATATTTCCATATATACATACACGAAGCCGTTGAAAGATTGAGTTAACCCTTATCGAGTCTGAAGCATTTTCAACTCAGTTTCCATGGCGGAGCATGTTAACCATTTCCATTGTGATTGGCCTTACGGCCTTGAGGGATTTTTCTCGACCACTGTAACTCTCTTACTCTTCTTCTCTGCTTAATTGGATGGATATTGTAAGTCTTCCCTTATTAAAAAAAAATATATTTTTGCTTTGAATTCTATTTGTAAAAGATTTGTTTCTCAACCTATTATACGGGGGACACCATTTGGCCAAGCGATCTTCATTTCAGTAAGTTATGGTGTTCATCGTGAGAGGATTGAATATCCTCTAAACTGCTCTGATGTAGTTGGTTTTGCACGGACATGTTCGGATAATTACCAGTCGGTGTTCGAGTCCGAAGAATTGAATACCGAAGCTTGTCCGGATTACTTCCGGTGGATCCACGAAGACTTAAAGCAATGGAACACTTCGGGGATTACAAAAGACATGATCGAGAGGGGAATTCCGAGTGCCAATGACCGGCTGGTGATCATCAACGGAAGCGCTTATGTGGAGAAGTACAAACCGTCGTTTCAAACCAGGGATGTGGTTACAATATGGGGCATTTTGCAGCTTCTAAGGTTGTACCCTGGAAAAGTTCCAGACTTGGACCTTTTGTTCTATACTGGAGACAACACTGTGATTATGAAAAGAGACTATAATGGACCGAATGCCATACCGCCGCCGTTGTTTCATTACTGCAGAGAGGCGGCGGCGCTTGACATCGAGTTTCCTGACTGGACCTTTTGTTCAATAAACATTGTGTTTCGTCGAGAGAAGCTTGAATGGATTAGGGTTCAAAGTTGAAACCTTGTTGATTTAAATTTTAAACTTCGAGTCTGTCTAATTGCTTGCGGTACGATCGGTATCAAGATATAAACTCTATATAGAAGGAGCGACATGGTCTGTAAGTGAGAAATACATAGTGGCATGTGATAGTATGACCTTGATGGTAAAGCATATGTACTATGATTTCTTCTCTAGAAGCATGGTGCCGATGCAGCATTTCTGGCCGATCCGCCGCGAGAACAAATGCAGAGATCTTAAGTTCGAAGGTTGAATGGGGTAATAATCGTACTCGCGAGGTACGTGTTTGGAGAGAATGAAAAAATGGATTGCAATGAATTCGACGGTTTACTGTTTCATTCCATGAACTTACATGCACAGGCCATGGGGAGAGCAGGAAGCAAATATATGGAAAAGATGCTGTCGATGCGAAATGTGTACGATTACATGTTTCATTTGCTGAATGAATACTCCAAACTCTTGTAGTTTAAGCCGACGATACCTCCGAATGCCCGTAGGGTCTGTGCTGAAACCCTAGCGTGCTCGAACAAAGGTTTATTTTAGGAGTTCATGGTGCAGTCGATGATGAAGTCTCCTAGTGATAAACTTCCATGTACATTGCCTCCCCCATATGAACCCCAAGCCATTCAAGCTTCTCTCGACGAACGTGAGAGAATATCTAAACAAGTGGAGACATGGGAGAGTGAGTATTTTGAAAAAACTAAAGACAATAAACAATAGATAGATAGATATATATATATATAAACAAAAATCAAACCAAATCATATGGAAGAATATTGTAATCAAATATTAGACAGATTTTTGAAGCAGCATTCAGAAACAGGGGAATCCCTACCTTTATAATACACCATTTTGTCTATAGGGATTACTTGGGATATTAATAGTATATAATCTTTTCTGATAGATCTCAGATACAGAGACGGAAGATTATTGTAAAATGAAAACTCTTGAATGTATTCTTGATTATTGGAAGGAATCAGAGAGCTCGTGATTTGATGATGTCGAAGCTCATCTCGCTCGGATCTGTCGCCTGCAACTCGGCTTGAATCCCATCCAATTGTCTCTTGAATTTGTCCTTGGAGCTTGCATAAAGCATCTTAGTCCTCACCCTTGCCGCATCAGGTGCCCTGCACACACACACACACACACACCATACAGGAACAATATATACAAGGGAACAATGCTTTTGGTTTATAATTTTTGCGTACCATGCAACAAAGAAAATCTTGCTCTTCTGGCAATTCTCTTCGGTTATGAAGTCGTAATCGAAGACGGCATAACGACATTCGTTAGGCGGCAATGAGTTGGTGAAATCGTCGTAGGTTTCACGGGGACCTCCCAGCTTCTCGACAACCACCTGCTGTGTCTGGTCGTCGATCTTGTACACAATGAACCGATGGTTTCGCTTTGCTTTTAGTTCCAAGAACTTCAACAAGCACTCATCATTCACATACATTCCAGATGATGAATTAGCCTATATGCACCACCGTAGGAATTAATATCATTTAAAGGATTATAACATACAATAATACTACATTACAAAGTTAATTAACAATTAAATAATAATACTAATAAGAGACATATACCATTTTGTTATTCGAATGAAACCTTGATAAACGTTTTGGCAATTGTCGGGAAATCTGAGCAAATAAATAAGCGAAAAGAAAAGGAATTGAATGTCTGGTTTTGGTAGGGGATGAGAATTGGATTTTCTTTTAATTAGGGAAAATTAAACAATTGCTAAGTAGGGGATGAGAGATATTTTAGGGTGGGTTAATCTGAATTCATTTTCCTCAATTACCATTATTTGTGGTACATCTGTTTTTGGGTATAGTAATTTTGGTTAGTTATAAGCTTGATTAAAAAACAAACAAAAAATCAATATTATTTAAAAAGAAAAATTAAATACATGTAAGCATGGTTGTAAATGAGTCGGGCTTGAACAAATAATTTTATTTGTTTATTTTTAAAGGTTTTAGTGTCCGGTTCGTTTATTCATACTCGTTTGTTCATTTATTAAATGAAGATAAATTTTTTATTCATACTCGTTTATTTAACTTAATAAATGAACAATTTATAAACTATCATTCGAATGTTCTGTTCATCTGCCCCTTAAATGTAACAAAGTAGAGGCAGTAGACCTCGTGGATGGATGGATCCGATAATTGTTACGAAGTTACATCATAATCTTGTAGACTAGAAAGATTTATTCCAATATTACATGTGATATTTATCTAATACGGTGAAATCGAAGACTTAGGCATCGGACCAGGTAACATCTATTTCACCCTGCTCGCTTTCGGGCACTCCCAGAGCCGTCCAAACTGCTTTCGAGCCATCAACAATATTATTACCGCACGGTGGCTGATAAGCATGCTCCTCGTCACACCCTACCTGAGAGTCACATTCATCGACTACCAACGCCCTCACGGTTTTTCCATTCCCGTTGATGTTGATGAACTTACTGCATCGACTACTCTGGCCGAACCAACCCGTCGAGAGTGCGACCACAAGTTCATCATCCGAGTGATATTGGTTGTCACATTTCGATGGGCCGCCGCCATCCCCGCCTTCCTGGAAGCTGTTAATTGTTAGGGTCGCGGGTGTGTTGCTGGACACCGGCGGTGAACAAGTGTATGTCTTGTAAACTTCGCCTTCTACGCAACACTCGGCGTTGTTCTCTTGGTTACACTGCCCCGGTGGGGGAGTTTTGCCTGTTATGTTGCCACTAGAATCGCATGTCTGAGCTTCGACACCTAAAGAAATGAAAAGGAAAGTAATAAACTGAAAAGCAATAAATAAAACTTGCTTCTTCATTGTTTCTTTTTTTTTTCTTTTCTTGTATGAAAATTTGTGAAGGGGGAAAGCTATATATAATGGACCAAAATCCAAAATGAATTATGAACAAGCCTAACTTGGGAGAAATTATGGGTAATTTTCTTCTTCTGACGGGTCTGAGGGGGCATTTGATTTAACCGAAAGTCACAGGCTGGACCTGTTCTACCACATACTGATTTGAAAGTAAAAAAGTCATTAGACTGGAAAAAAAAAACCAAGGGCTGGTGAAGTTTCCTGGTAAAGAACAAGTTGGGAAGATTCAACGTTGTATCACATTCGTCACACCACCAAAGTTGATGAAGATCGAATCATCAAACCTTCCTGCAGGTTGTGTGGATGGCGCCGATGTTGCTGTGGTGTTGATGGTAATCTTAATTCCTAGATTATAAGAAGGATGGGTGACGATTATTAAGAAAATTATTTGGTTCAAACTGGAGAAATGAAATGCAAGTCCAAAGATCAGTTGAAATCATGAGTTCTAAAATCTCCAACTGTATCAATGCTACAAATATCAGACAGCAAATCATCATCAAACACAAAAATCATGCTGCTGCTCCATTCCCAACAAATCCCATAACACTTTCAAATTACAATCCGATGGCCTTCAACAGCAAACTATATACATTGCCGGAGGAAAAGAGTGTCGTCATCCGCGCATTAGATCAATGTCGATATGGCTATTACTACACATATCCATAGATCGTGCCCCAGGCCAAACACCTGCAACCAAACTTGGAGTCGGATTATGATTTGGTGAAATGCCAGTAGGAGCTACTAGGTTGTCCACAATCTGATCATCCGAGTCTTTTAGACCATCTTGACTTCCTCCTTTCTTGTTCTTCGCCTTTGAACCACCCCGGATAAAACTTCCAACGATCACCTGCTTCATTAATCATTTGGTTAAGATACATAGAAGATTACTCAAGTTCAATGCTATATCTTTAATTTCCCCATTTACTTAGAGCCCGGAGCACATAGAAAATTTAAATGATTTAAACTTCCTACGGGTTCGGAATTGCAAATAACACCATAGATACCAGTGGCAGCGATTGAAGAGTTACCTGGACGGGGCTTGCTGCGATAAGCATCCCTCCAACACCTCCACCAATGACATGGCCATCAGGACTGGCAAGAGAAACACTAAGGCCACCAGTTCGATTGCAAGAGTCACCATTGCTTGTCAATAGGTAAGATCCCGACAAACATAGTATCTCGAATCGTCCCTGCAGAAATCAAAATGGACAGGAAAAAATACATGCATCAAGACAATAATTTCTGAGGAAGAGTAAAAAAGGTTGTTAAATAGCATTAACAGAAACTACAGACCACTTCAAAAATATCGGACAACAGAAATATGTGAATTATATGGATCATTCAATATTACTCAGCAACAAAGTCCTAGGTTGTCTCAACATACTTGTCACAATACTATGCAAGGATCCAGTTATTGAGTGCCAAACCTTGTATGTAACAGTGCCACCCAACGATGATGGCTGGAGAAGAGCAACGGTTGAGATGGCACCATTGGCTGACAAAATGCATACTTCTCTTGACCCTTGCTGTGAAAATGACATTAATTTTGTCGCAATGTCCTGCAGGGAAAGTTAAAAGTATTTCTCAAGAAAAACCAACTTTCTTCCATTATAAGATACCCTACTGAAAGATATAATACCGCATTTAACCATTCGTCTCTCAAAAAAGTAAAGATTCAAGAAGGAATATCTACTTTTTGTTACAAAACAACGAAAAATCTAAAAAAAACTTAATGCCTCCATGCATGGTATAGCTCAAAGAAGTGGTCTACCTTAGAAAAACTGGGAAAAAAACGAGGGCTAAAAAGACAACCAAATCAACAACGGTGTTTTATTACATAGAATGCCTAGAGAATCCTAAATTTCTTGTATATTTAATTCGGAGGGAAGAGTTCGAGGCCTAATTGATAAAAGAAAATCGCATACTTCTCCTATAGCAATGGTGATGACATGTGGAGTAAAACACGTTCCATCTGAACCAGCCAGCAATTCACCTAGCAAAACAATTAGACAATTGCAACATCATTCACATGGCAAGAACAAGATATGTTAGAATTTTGCACTAAGAAACTGAGATAAACTACAAGCACCGATAAGATATATTGTGTTCGTTCACCAAGGAGAATGGAGCTTTAACTAATAGGAATTGTTGAATTGTTAGTTGTGAAGACTTCCACATTTGAATGTCTATGTTTGTCACTCATAATTATTTAAAGTCTGAAACTTTTATCACATATTCCTATATATGAGGCCGAGCATGCAATTTCATAATATTAGCAAAACATAAACAATAACCAAGTTGTAAACAATAAAAACAGAAGGGAGGAATAATTTACCAAGGGAAGACAACTGTTGCTTCCTTCCGGTACCCCGCGGCCGCCCTCTTCCCCGTTTTTGGGTTGGAGTTATTGTTCCAGGATGAGAAGCTGATGAAGGAGTCAGTGCTAACGAAACAGCTCCATCTGGTCCGTACTTTCGAGGTCTCCCTCTTTTACGCTTCACGGTCTCACTAGGCGGCACTGTAGGAGGTGTGTCTACATTGACACTATGAGGGGTCATTCCCGACATAGGCTCTACAGGTAAGTTTGCTCCCATAGTAGTGGCATTAATACTTGATTGGTATTGAACATTCGAATTCGATAACGGATGAATGCCTGGTGATCCATGTACCCCAGTTTGTGTCCCGGAACCGGAGCCAGTTATTCCTCTTTGTTGCATATAGTAAGAGCCAGATAACGCCATAGCATCCCTTCGATCCATGCATTTACCTCGAATAACCTATACTTGAATTTTCCTTCAAATCTACACTCCATGCAAATCGGAAAGGCTAGAATAACATAAAAGCGCCTACGAAGCTCCAATCTGTGACCACTAAACAATTAAAAGGCATATGGAAATTGGAAACAACATGAAGGGGGACAGACAACAATCTAAATGAAAGATTATAACATGTCAATGAAGAACATGTTTCCCAGTCCCATAATCCTAGAGAATCGAATTTCATGCATGGCTCTGGAAATTGAGCCATACCAAAAAGTAATGAGCTACATTTAGCTTTACAGAGAAATCTCTTCAAATCTATACATGAAGGGAAGTAAAACGAAATGCCATATGCTCGCAACAGTGCTATTATTAGAAAATAAAGAAAAAAAATCTGTTAAAGAAATAAAGAAGCAGAATGGGAACTGAAAACCATGTCATATCTTTAACACCGAGCATGTTTCCACAGCAAATCCCTAGAAGCTAAAGCCAATTACTCACGTAATTGAGAAAATAAATAAACAGACAAAAGCTAAAGCCAATGCCATAAAAAATGAAGTTAGACCAAGTAGAAAGAAGAACTACAACTTCCATCAAAAACTAAGAACACGGGGCTAAAAAATTTTGCTCCTTTTCATGGGGAAAAAACCCAGAAACAGTAAGTAACTTACATTAGTGAACAGGGATTAAACTGTTAAAAGGTCCACCTTTCTGAAAGTAACAAGCTTTGAAGAAGATGGATTTTTTTTCTTCTGTTTTGTGGGAAAACGAAGGAATTAAAGAACAAGTGACAAATAACAGAGAAAATATGCCATTTTTTTTCTTTTTCTGTGAGGGAGAGAAGAACGGGAAAGAGAGCGTTGTTTATTAGTTGCTACAAAAAGCTCCTTTGCATACAACAGTTTTTATCGGGATTCATATTATCTAGGGCAGAGCTTTCTATATGTAGTAAATGCTGTTTATCGTTTATCTCTCTTGTTATCTAAAAGAGAAAATAATCTTATTCATCAAAAATATCTTATAATATATGATTTTAATCAAAAAATTTTAGATTTGTCAAAATGACTAACTAAATTGCAATGCGATCGATAATTCGCAACGCGATCTCTGGTATCGCAAATCAGTTTTCAGATTCGCAACGCGAACTTTGACTATCGCAATGCGAACTTAGACTATCACAATACGAACTTGGACTATCGCAATGTGAATATGTAAATCGCAATGCGATAGTCGACTATCGCAATGCGAACTTGGACTATCGCAATGCGAACTTTGACTATCGCAATGCGAACTTTGACTATCGCAATGCGAATATGTAAATCGCAATGCGATAGTCGAAGTTCGCATTGCGATAATCGACTATCGCATTGCGATAGTCCAAGTTCGCATTGCGATAATCGACTATCGCATTGCGATAGTCCAAGTTCGCGTTGTGATTTATTCCAAATTCGTTGCGATAGTCCAAAATCGTAACGACTGGTGGTATTGCATTTGTTTCTTAAGAATTTTCTCTAAAAAGATAGTATTCGCGCGGACGTGTCGAAGACACGTATGACCACGACCACGACCACGACAACGACCCGACCCGATACAAACGGCGGCAGCGGCGCGCGAGAATCCCCCTTGTTCTCTATCACTCAACAAGGAAGTGGAAAAGCTAAGCCTTAAATACTATTCCTAATAGTGTTTCTAATATTATGTGGGATTGAGCATTATCAACACTTGTTTCCAATACAATGTGATTATTCAGGAAACAATTAAGAATCATGCACCTTAAAACAACTGAATTAGCAACTAATTTTATTAGTATTATACGATTAAGTATGTCATAATTAAAAGTCAATCTACAATCAATCGTGATTATTGCAATTTTAAGCAAAACATTCAAAAATAATATCACTATTTAAAGCTCAATTCCACATAGTATTGAGAACAAGTATTGGTAATGTTCAATCCCACATAGTATTGGAAACACTTTTGGGAATGGTATTTAAGGCTTGTCTTTCCCACTTCCTTGTTGAGTGATAGAGAACAATGGGGATTCTCGCGCGCCGCCGCCGCCGCCGTGTCGTGTCGTGTCGTGTCGTGTCGTGTCGTGTCGTGTCGTGTCGTGGTCGTGGTCGTGGTCGTGGTCGTGGTCGTGGTCGTGGTCGTGGTCGTGGTCGTGGTCGTGGTCGTGGTCGTGGTCGTGGTAATACGTGTCTTCGACACGTCCGCGCGAATACTACCTTTTTAGAGAAAATTCTTAAGAAACAAATGCGATAGTCGAAGTTCGCGTTGCGAATCTAGATACTGATTTGCAATACCAGAGATCGCGTTACGATTTAGTTGGTTATTTTGACAAATCTAAAAAAAATTGATTAAAATCATATATTATAAGACATTTTTTATCACTGAAATTATTTTCTCTATCTAAATAGGTATTATTGTGTTTATCTTTAGCTTCTCTCTCTCCCCTCCGTCTCTGTGTGGATTATGAGTGATGATGTTTTGATTCGACAAGAGGGTGCCAATGGCCGGCTTAAATGGTAAACTTTAGATTTTATATAGTTTTTAACGTTGAATTTTAAAAATTTTAAAATATTAAACATCAAGCGGTCTTGGTTAGTAAAAAAAAGTATCAATTAATTCTTTAGTTCAATTAATTATATCTTTAAGATATGCGTTGTTATTAATAAGAAATATTTTAAATTGACATTATTTTTATAATTATCTTAAATTATAAAAAAAATATTAAAACTATTAATCTCCTAATTTCAAAACGGCACGATCAAGTCATTATTTTGATATAGACACAACTTTTATAATATGCTCTGATTTTTATTCTCTTCTTAAAAAATTAAGATAAATTATCTATTTTTATCACTGATATATCATTTTCTGTTTTAATAGTATAATTTTTTTAAAATTATATCTAATATTATGTTTAAATTCTATTTTGATTATATATTATTAAAAAAATAAACAATACAATTAACGTAATAATTTTAATTCTTTTTTAAAGTTTCAAATAATTATTTATTTACTATTTTTAATTAATTTTATTAAATGTATCGCTATCTTATGATATAATACACTTTTAAGTGTCTAAGTTATACTTCAAATTAACTTTTGATGCCTAAAGAATTTTTTTGTTAAAAATATGTACATAACGTTTTCTCTATTATACTTTTTTTAATAATAAAAATATTATTTTAAAAGATTTTTTTTAAAAAAAAAATAAACCTTTCCCTCTCACATTCTCACTTCCATTCCCCATCTCTGACGACGACGAAAAATTACCACCGATTGAATTTTATTTGAAGTAAGACGAGGAACTCAATAGTGACGGTCATGAAACGTACAACTAGTTATAATCATCGGAATCGTCGAAGAAAAATAATAGTATTACCGTTTGAGCTTCGATATTATATTTTTTAACTTATCACTTTAAAATATAAACATGAAAATAATAATATTTTGGTATCATATTAAAACTTTAATTTTTAATAAAATATGTGAAATATATTTATTAATAATACATATTTATATTAGATCATCAATATAATTTTTTAATATATAAATACTTATAAGTTAAAAAAAAAAGTTGATGTTTTGTAAGGAACGCGTGGTGGTGGAAGCGAGCGGTCTGTGTGGACAGACCATCTGTCGCAAAATATCTGCCTCTAAGCACTGATAACACCACCCTCTTGCTTTCTCACCGCTACCCAGGTTTAATGTAAAAATAAATATTTAAATCATATTGAAAGTTAATTTTAAGTGTTGAAAAAAATTTAATTAAAAATAGGTAAATAATGGTTTATATGTTACACTTTTAGATGTATAATATTTTCGATGTTATATTTTAAGTGCATGGGATATAATAATTGTTAAAAAAATATTGTTATTTGACACGTGTTAAATATATAAAACTTTATTAAAAAAAACTCAAACTTAAAATTTATTTTTTTAAAACTTAATATTTTCTGAAATTATAAAAAAACCAAAATCTTGAAAAATTTTGATTTCAATTTCTTACCACCGTCGATTGCCACCAACACCGCCAATAGACTGAAAACCCGACGACGTACGACTACTGAACCCTCATGCTTCACGCGATGATTGAAATATAAAATCGACGATCGCAACATGAAAAACCCTTTTCAGCTGATCGTAAAATCTTGTATTTACATGGCTAGTAGGTTTCGGTCGATTGTAAAAATAAGAAGTTTCAACCGTTGGGTGGTTGTTCGGTCTAGCAATGTTGGGTGTTCGGCCGATTGACAGCGTTGGTGGCGGCCGACAGTACTAAGAGATTAAAATTAAAGTTTTAAGAGATTTTGAGTATTTTTGATAATTTTATAAATTCTGGGGTTTTTAAAATAAATTATAATATTAACTTTTTAATTTAAATAAAAAATTAAAAACTTTATAAACACCTAAAACTTTAAGCACCTATTTTGCATTAAGTCATTAGATTAAATCTTCAAATTAGGTGAGGACATGGATGGATGGAGGCAACGAGGATGTCGTCATATAAAAATTTTAAATTAGCATATATTTTAATTTTTTTATATATTTTCAACTATAAAATTTTATAAGTTTATAGTCTCCTAAACTTTTAAAATTTCACCTCTTAACGTCATAACTTATATCCGTCCCTAGATGAGGAGTTAATCTTTTAAAATCTCAAATAAAAGTTAATACTTTTAAGGGGCAAATTTATTGGAATATTGCAATACGAAAATGAATTTGTTTATATGGGCGGGGTAGAATTTATTTTCTAAATAGGGTGAATGCTACCAATGTTAATAGGAGGTCATGTGAATTACTTATCGTTTTTGGAAAGACACACGAATCTATAGAGAAAAATTTCACGGAAAGCTCAACATCTTCTCGCATTAGCTCTCGTGCTTATCTTCTTCGTCTTTCTAAGCTCCATCAATAGTGCTTGCTAGCTCCCACCCGTTCAACTTCAACAACAATCCAACTAAGTTAACCATCGACAAACTCAAGGACATCAACAATGGCATCATCATTTTCACGCCTATAACTATACACAGAGGTTGGCAAGATGCTAGATCTTCAATGCGTATCGATGAAGACGCTAGGTGATCCATGCATATTTCCTAGTTCACTTTAGAGAACCTCTTACTTGAAAAAATAAAATCCGATAGTTTTATTTGGGAAATTTTTTTCTCACTTTATTATTTGGATTTTGTCATTTTAAAGGTAAAAGTATATAAACAGTTTTTTAGTTGTGTTGAAATAATTTTATTGATAATTAAAATTATAAAAGAAATAAAATAATCAATACATTTCTTCAGCTACTACCTAATTGAAGTGAGTTTTTTTTCGTTGATCTTGTCAATGGTGAAACACTTCTCACTCTCGAACCTGGTACTTGTCGCAATGTGCACAACTGGAATAAGGAACATATGTTACAGTACTACTGATGTCGACGATATGAGCAAATTCCCGAGGAGGCGTTCTTATTCATTTTAATGGTTTATTAATGTACAAAATTTTACTCTAAAGCTTTTAACAGTAAAATTTTCAACTGTTTTCATTAGCTCGTATGTTTTATCTTTTATCCACCAGGTAGTATCAGATTTATCCCGTCTTTCAAATTTTCCGTGTTCCGATGCAGATAAGAAGTAAAAAAGGGTCCCGTTTTTCATTGAATAGTCAATCTTCTGGCATGAATGCAGATGATTGGGCTGTACAAATTTGAAGGTCCGGTACAATCCCACCACACTCAAACACCAGACGGTAGAGAAAGATGGTGCAGATGCAGCAGCAGCAGCATGAAGGGACTAATAATTTGACGGTAAAACAATAAAGGAAAATAGGGTGCAATGATGTATTTTAGCCAACCAGTCAAGATGCTAAACGGTTTGGACTGCAATCAAGATGCTCACTTTAGTGAAATCACCAATTGAACTAACCAGTCACCAACAGCCACACAACTACCACCATTCAACTACATGCATATAAAAATTCGAATCTTGGGGACGATATTGAAAAGGTAATACCAACCTTAAAGAATCTACAAAAGAAAACCCTAATGATACAGAATGGTCTTGCAGTTGATCATAAAGCTTTAGACAAAATGAATATCATACTGTAGTTCAAAGCTTTGAGTCAGCTGGTGGGTTCGGAGGCGTAGACATTTTAAGCGGCGCTTCTTGAGTCAATGATACAAGCAGCTGCAAATCAACATACACAAGTATGATGAGAGGTTAAACCTGTTTCCCTGGGTTCAGAAGCTTTGAGCCAAAACACATTTTGTGACAAAAGAAAGAAGCAAAAGACATGAGAGGCTCAAGATGTTTCCGTCGGTTCAGAAGCTTGTAATTTCTGCATAGATCATAGGATCTTCTTTTATGTTTTGCTAATGTATTTGGTTCGTATGGCCCATGTTTATTAAATAATCATCTATTGACCCATGTCAATGGTTCTCCATGTTTTCCCCTTTCAAGAACCATGGAATAGAGAGATAACAAGAGTATCAGGTAAAGTTAGAAATCCAACCTACAGAACCCCGAACTGAATCCGCAAAAAGTACGTTAAAAAGAAAGAGTTATACAAATGACAATCCCCCAATGTTAATATAAAGGTTGAGCTCCAAAAGCATTTACCGTTGCAATATTTAGCCCACAATACATGTCGGACAGACTTCACACTCCTAGACCTGAACTTGCTTGAGCACTTCGAAATGATTCCTTTGTTACTCCATAATAGACTGGTTTGTTCCCTGTAAACGTGATAAAGTTCCACCCAAAAGCCGATCCCCCAACGATATATGTCCCTGGAGCTTCACCATCTTCAGATTGTAGTTTCCCGGCGATACTACTCGACTGGAAAGTCTTGTTTTTGGATGATACGGCTGGTGCTGGCTTAATGACCCGCTCCTCCTGGGGCTTCTGCTTCATTCCGGTTTCACCTTGTAGTGTCTGGCCTCCAGGTGAGTTGTTACTTTTCTCCGTGGAGGCTATCGTCTGCTTGTACAATTCTGCCAAATGCTTTGTCTCTGCAAATCACAAATTTAAAATACATACCCTTTAGATTACGAATCAAACATAAATATCATATGCACAGGGCAATCAGCGATGATAGACCGTTCTAAAGAAGCAGTTTCCATGACAAAATGTTCACCATTAGCAACTAGCTAACTGCAAATCTTAACAGTTGCAAAACTTGACAAAGCATATTGTGAGCTTACTTTCTTTGATTTCATCGGCGGCCTTGCAATTTCGAAAATCAGGCACCCGAAGAACCTTCATGGAACATAAAAATCCATAACATATCAACAGAATGTTCCATGGATATAGACAACAATAAAAGAAAAACAAAAAATAATTCATACGAGCATCCGGGTTGATGAAGCTACTTCCGGCAAACATAAATTTTAAGGACACGCCTAGAGGAACTTCCCTTTACATTATTCAGGCTATAACCAACCATCATGGGAGATAGAACTAAGAATAATGGTCTAAACTTGAACTATACTTGGTTAAAACATAAATTTTCAAGGTCAATTGAACATAAACCCACAAAATAAGAACAACTGAGAATCCAAAATCAAGATTTGAAAAATTATAATCTAATTGCACTGCCATAAACTAATTACTGGGGAAGAAGGGGAGGCTAGACCAAAAAAACGAAACTTGATCACAGAAAAGGGTTTCTTTTCCTCTAATTTTAAGCTAACATGCAAGAGAAGGGGAATAGACAATAAAAAACCATAAATAAATAGAAAAAAAAGGAAAATTTTGGAAATATATGAATACACCTCGACGAAATGAGGACGAAGATCTTTGAGAACAAGGCGCATCTTGAAATATGGCGAATTTTGGAATTGGTCATCGCTGTTTTCTAAAGGCCTTTTCCTGCTAGCTGCCTGTTCTGTTGCTGTAGGCGGTGCGGGTGGCGGTGGCGGAGCTGTTGCTTCTGGTGGGTTCGGGGCTGCTTTCGGCTCTTCCATTTTCTCAGGTGCAAATAGGAAAAAAAAAAAAAAACAAGTTAACTAGAGACTATTTTCTTTCAACCTTTGGGAACCGAACGAGGAAAGTCGTGTTTGGTTATCTGCGTTCTGTCTGACTAATAAACCAATAACATGCTTTCGGATACCCCTTTTTAACCTCCCAATGTCCGATCTTGCTCCGACCCAACTCTCTTCTAAATGGTCAAATTTTATCATGAATCCTTTATACTATGTATAAATAATGAATTTAATCCATATACTTTTCTTAATTTGTTGATAATACATACATCATTCAGATGTAACTATTTAAATCTATACCGTCGAAAATATAAAATTTTGTTTGAATAGTGTTAAATTGATTTATCCTTCAAATTACTAATACAATTTATTTTTTAATAAAGCTAAAGTTGATTACAAAATATTATATGTTCTAAGTATTCTTAATCATTTGACAATGAACGCTCAATCACTATTATAGTTGCTGGTGCTCGAACTTATGACCTCTAAAAACGACAACAATTCCTTTAATCACTGAAATAAGTTGGTTAGTACTACTAATACAATCATTGCTTCAAATTGAAACCAAGTTTTTGTTAATTTTCATGTGGATGACACATAATTCTTTATAACATGAAAATATTTTACTGTTTTCGAGCAAATATTAAATCATTGTTTCTCGTATTATTACATATGGATTTCAATAGCGTCAAAATCAAGGTCAATGTAACATACATGGTTAAAATATACTTGGTTAAATCAATGGTCAAATTTTATCATGATTCCTTATACTATGTATAAATAATGAATTTAGTCCATATATTATGATTAGGTCAAAGTGATATAGGTATAGATTTTTTCTTAGTTTGTTAATAACACACACCGTATAAATGTAATTATTTAAATTTTAATATTCTAGAGAGAATAATATTATTTTTTACCATTAAAATCATTAATTAGATGAAAATAATAATATTAAAGTAAGATATAAAAATATGCATTTGATATTTCAAACGAAATTATTTTTTATGTAGTAAGAAATTGCTAAATGTAAATATTTCAAGATCAAAAGATTTTTAAATTAACTTTAAAAGTTAATTTTTTAATGCAATTTGATAATATCATTATGCAATATGTGATATTAATTAATTTAAAAAAATATTGATTTTGATAATTAATATTAATAAAAATAATTAATTGATAAAATTTTGAAATATATATAAAACTTATTAATATAATTATAATTTTCCAAAATTTAAGAGATTTTAACACTCTTAAACTAATAATAAATTTATCTCGAACATTAATTGAAAAAGTATTAATTTTGGTCAAATGGGTTATTATTGTAAAAGAAAATCAATGGCGATTTTACCGAAATATAATCCTTAGACCCAATAATTACTTGTCATACGTTCTCTCCCTTAATATTACCGATCTAGCACCCTTTTTGACATGGTATGAATAAAGCGTGAATTGTCAGTCGCGCTTTCGCGGGATTCTATCCGAGCTATCTGCGCCTTCGCTGAACTCTAACACGTACGAAAGACGAGGATCATCTTAATTTCTCAACCGCCTGTCTCCCACATTGATTACCAACCATATCCCCTTCCCTCTTCTTATAAATACCACCTCAAATTCTCTCATTCTTCCTATTATCAATCTTTTTATTAAGAATGTAAAATATTTTTATTATATTTTTTTATTTAATAATTTATTATTTTATTAAGTTTTATTGTACTAATTTTTTTTTTTTTGCATTTATAAAATGGAATGCGAGTTGTTACGTTTATATGAAAATCATATCTCGAGGCATTTTGTCAATACGATAACAATTTTAAATTGTGTTGTTATTTTAATTATTGCGAATGTTTTATTTATTTAATTTTTTAGTATTAGTTTATATTTTAATTTGTATAGTATTTATTAAATTAGGAGAGAGATCATATTTTAGGTTCATTCATTTGTAACGTTAAGTTAGAGATACATACTCGTGTCTGGCTGTATTTAGACGAGGCTAAATTCAGTTACGTAACGAAATATGAAGGGCACTGTAACCTTGAACCCAACTTTATTTCTACACTGGTTGAGAGGTAGAGACTAGAGACACACACATTTCATATTCCGTGTGGAGAGTGCACTACTACGCTGGAGGATGTTTTCATAAATTTGGGGCTTCCGGTAGATGAGGATGTGATTTATGGGGTGGCGGATGGTGACTGACATTCCTTATGCGATGAGTATCTTGGAGGTGTCCCGCCTAATTTCAAAGGTGGTCGAATACCGTTAAATTGGTTGAATACAACTTTTAAACATTTGAGTCGCGACGCCTCTATGGAACATGTTAAAATGTATGCATGGGCTTGCATGTTACAACTCATATGAGGGATCATGATGCACGATAAATCGCGCAACCAAGTTCATTGTATGTGGTTGCGTCACCTCACATATTTTCACGTTGCCAACGCACTCACTTGGGGCTCCGCAGTTTTGGCATTTTTGTATAGGGAAATGTGTCAAATAACTAATTATCGAAAAAATGATATCGGCGTATGTCTCATTCTTCTACAGTCTTGGGCATGGTATCACATACCCTTTTTATGTCCGGTCGTGAAAAACCTGTTGGTCTTCATGCTATTGTTGAGGTAATTTCAATACTGAATTTGTATATAAATAATTTTGTTGAGTATATAATGATTTTTTTCATTGAATAAGTAATCAAGTCCAATAAAAGATCATCGAGATTTACAAGATGAATTAGAAGAAATTCAGCTATTCATTAATCAGAATGCTGATACGGGGATATATTTTAAAATTTATTATTTACTTTTAATTATCGTTATATAATTATAATATTATTTTGATAAGAACTATATGTGTTTGTTTTAGTTTCAATGGGCTCTTTATTCTACTGAAGAAATGAGGATTTGCATCCCACATCACTTAAGAGACCCATTAAATATCTTGATGGTTGTGGTCCCTGTGATATGTTAGCTATTGTCGAGTGACATCCTACTGATCATGTGCTCCGCCAATTTGGTTTTGTACAATCTATTCCGGAAGCACCTAAGAATCTCGATGATATACATATCATCTATCGACGGGGCAAAAAAGAAGTCGACTGACTGCTGAAGCACATTGAGTGGGTAACGATATGGGAGGATCGATGTGGACATATTCCCTGTACAAAACCTATTTATGTGGATCATTATTCGGTTGCGGATGATTATTATGAGTGTTTCAACATGAACGAGAAATCGTTCTTACTTTTCAAAGAAGCACGAGGTGGGAGTATTCATTGACGTCGACAAAGTCGTCTGTCGTCATAGCATCATCGTCCCTGACTCGTGGATGGAGAACAAACACTTCTGGCTCATCCTTAGTTATAACACCGTAACCATCACAACAACCACCGTCTACACTGGTGTATATTCCGCAACCATTTCAGATAGCATCGCAACCATATCAGATGACAACATAGCCATTTCATATTCCACCGTAGTCGAGTTAGATGCCACCACAGCAGGGTCATATGCCACCGCAGCTGGTTTAGATGCCACCGCCATAGGGTTTTATGACCCCTCCTGGTAGATATTATACTGCCATGCTTGTAGATCCAGCACAAGGTTCATATGATGGTTATTTGGCGAGCGAAGGTTCACCATATACACATACACTTCTAACGTAGTTTTTGCACTCATCGATGTTGTTTTCACAGTTTTTGTGAGCGGTGGGATAGTCAACCATACACCTCCTGGATCCTTATTCTATGAAAGTACTACATCGTCATCCGTTCCTCATCAACAAAATGTAGTTGCTCATGATGATGATGATGATGATGATGAGAGTGAGGAGAAAGAACAAGTTATACGAAGAAATCCTCATCGACACAGACAACCATCGCCCTGCGAAATACATTCAAGACGCAACAATTGTAAAGTTTTTATTTAATTATAGATTTTTTTATTTATTTTGTTTGTTAATGTTTTTTTATTTAATTATTCGAATTGTATCATCTGCATTTAATATTTCTATTTAGTTGTTTTTATTGTTTGAAATGTATCATTTTCTTGTATTTAGTTTGTACTTTTTTATTTAATTTTCACTTGAGTAGCCCATTACTCGTGATGCTCAAATGACATTAAATGAAAGTAAATAAAAATTAAATAACACAAACTTAGATTTCATGAACAACAATTACATCAGCACAACATCAACAATTACCTAATGATAAAATAGATGGACATTTTTTCTTATTGTGTCCTAAGTTTCTACAATGCCCACATCTTTTGTTTTCTCTGGACGTCTCTCGAATATCAATATCACAATGAATTCGAGTAGATTTCGAGCGATCGGGCTCCCTTAATAAAGACGGATCTGGTACAATCGGAAGCCAATTCTGGACCTCATCATGGTCTTTCTCATTACTTATGGGGGAACTCAAATTCATATACCTTAAATACTTCTGAAAGTCGGTATACGAGATCCACAAAACGATTATAGTCTTGATGGGTATGAGAGCAAACTGCTATGACATGGGAGCATGGATACTTCAGAGCTTGAAAAAACTCATAGTCACAACACTTGTCTCGTAGATTAACTCTGAACAAGTTACTTTATATCCCTTGAAGAGGTCACGACATCTCTGTGACATAAAATAGTTCATGGGTTTTAGAGAATATTGTTACAAACATTCCATTTGATGCAACAATTCTTTTTTGTAGATCTGCAACTAATCTTGAGTGGTAGACATGACCGTTTTGCATCCAAGTTTGAGCTTATCCCCCGAGCTTGGCAAAAAGCGCTCCATAACGAAAATATATCGTTTTAACCAAATTCGTTACCGGTAACTGGCGTGCTCCTTTAAGGTCGAATTGATAGACTCAACCAAGTTGGTCGACATGTGTCCATATCGATATCCACCATCATATGCATTTTTTCCATATTTCTTTGTTGATGAGGCTAATGCAATTGTATCCTTGCTCGTTCTTTCCTCATAAATCTTGAAGCATTGACTCAAGTGTTTCAGGTAATAGTTTGTAACATGAGCGTCAAATGTAGAACTTACTATTAAGTTTCCATAAAAGATAAAAATGATTGAAAAATAAAATTAGGC